TCAATATATAACATTTGAAGTTAATCCACTTCATCTTATTTAGATGAGTGAGATTAGAAAATGTTACTTTCAAAATAGGACAACTTATAAACTGAATAGATACACAACTATATATTATCATGAGTGTTAGTTTTATTTTTGCTTTCATATTAATTAGAGGTTAAAAAAGTAGAAACATTAGATGCCCATTTTCTTTATACAGTAGTTTGTTTCAACCTTATATAGAACAATCTATAAATCCTATATATCAGAATAATAGTAGGTAATTGAATGACAAAAATAGAAAAATACACCTACTTTATACATTTTGTCAAATTTATTCTAATAATGGTTTTATTGATGAAATCAATCTTATATAGAGTGTGGTGTGGGGAGAAACTTATATTTGTTATATTTCTCCCCCACTCTTTCATATGAGAGAGAGAGAGAGAGAGAAATACAAAATTCTCCCCTACTCCACATATACAAGACTATCAATTAAAACCAGGATTAATTTCAATATGTCCTTTCTAAGGACATATTCCATTTTATCATTCATTTACTCATTATTTATATTCATACTTGATAATTATCTATTTTTTTCCTCTAACCATTCACTTTGGTTAGTTTATAGAGCTTGTTGGGCTTTCTGACATGTCTTATTGAGGATCAAGTAGTCATGAATTTTCATGAATTGAAAGATTAATTATTTTTCCATTTTTAATGGAAAATAATTATTTCCAATCTGGTTTTTCACTTTCTATTTTCATAACTACAAATTATGTAATTTTTTTTTGTACCAATCGTTTGCTTTAAAATTGGTGGAAAAGCACAAAAGTTTTAATTGTATAATAATTCACTGTTGGTGAATGAAGAATTGAGAATTTAAATAATTTGAAAATGTTACATTCATTACTCACAATATTCTCACAAACTTTCACAATATTCCCACAAACTTGTTTAAATAAAATTTACAAGTTTTAATATTTATAATAGTAAGTAGTGTTCATTTTATGTTATGTAGATACTGTACACTAATATCTCTCACTTTGGATATTTCATATTATTCTTTTTTTTTTAAATTATATCAATAAAAGCTGAATTTAGAATGTCTTTGGGATTTAATAAAATGTTTTTCTTTTATTATAGTAAAAATAGAATCTTAATGAAATTGGTAAGATAATTCTCTTATGGTTATTACTAATAAGATTGAAGCAGTAATTATACTAGTGTTTTTATTGCTATTATATTTTCACTTCATTACTATTCATGTAGAGTTATAATTTGTATTGTCATTACAGATATTAATATTATTAATAAAGGATAAAATAAAAGAATATATTATTGAATATGATTTTTAAAAAAATGTAAAATTAGTGAATATAGTGTTGAAAAAAAAAAAAATTAAAACCAATGATTATAATTCATGAAGACAAAATAGATATTAATAACTTTTTATAGATTTTTTAAAAGATATTATATAGACAATTTTCAAATACAAAAAATATTTTTAAAAATTAATCACTGAAAATGAGATTAAAATTTATATAAAAGGCTCTTAAAATATTTAATTCTTTAAAATATTAAAGGAGAAATGGAACCAGTCACAAAAAAATTCATTTTATAATGAACTGTTTTCAATAAAATTTAAAAAAGAAAAAAAATGACAGTAAACCATCAGTAAAATAATATAAAATATTAGATAAAATTTTAAGTAGAAATTTACTGTTGTATAAACAGTGAATAGTGCCACAATAGAAAGAACAATATATTTTAATTTGTTATAGAAAGCTGTTTTTTGTTTTTTATGAAAACAAGTTGAGATAAAAATTCATTGTTATTACTTTGTGTAAGTGTGTATTTCATTAGTGAAGGATTTAACACTGAGAAACAGTAAAAGAGCAAGTGGCTGGGTTTAATGCAATTATATTGGTAAATGGTTTTGGGTGAGGAATGGGCAGGGAGAGAGTAAGATTTCAATGGGCAGGCAAAAGACAAGGCCCATTGGTAAACAGAAACAGTAAAGTTGTTGTCATTCAAGGATAATGATTGGACAAAAAGAAAAGTAATTTTAAATGTGATTTCAAAGGAAAACAAACAATAGGTAACAGAAAAAAGAAATCTAATTCTAGGCAACGAAAAACTCTTTCAATTCAGTAATTATTTAGACTAATATATTTTTTTTATATTCTTCATTTTTCAGGTACTGAATATTTAAAACAGAATATATACTCACCAGTGCATGAGGGAAAAAGTAATTTTTTCAGCTGATGGTTTGAGTTCTATTAAACTTCTTCACATCAACCAATTTCTCAAAGCAAACTGTTGCTTTAGAGACAATCTCCAAATATAATGAATAAAATTATATGAAATATATACCAATGATAAGATTATTAAATGATTGACTAATTGCTGAATCTTAATTTGTTTACACAAACTTACAGAAGTTTAAGTAGCATAATATTCTTTCACAATTATGCAATTTACACTCAGTATTGAATTCATAATTATTATATTGTGTCATTTTAAAAATATTACATACTTTTTATAAGTTAAAATTTTTATATTAAATTTAAATTTGATAAAAAAGGGAAAAAATGATCAAACATATATAAAGTTAAATTTATTTACTCATTTAAATATTTTTTTTTTTATGAACAATATCCATTTGTAACTTTAGTAAAGTTTCTTATTATAAATGTTATTCCATCCACTAACCTCTGAGTATATATTTGGATCAATTACAGTAAAATAGGTCAACATCATTTGGTAAATGTTCAGCAGTAAAGTATTGAGATCAAAAGACATGTCTACTTTCTTTATTAGTCAGCCTTTAGCTTTTTGAATTACAAGATGACTTGGAGGCATTGATTTAAAATATTGGTCAACACTGATTCAGTGACATTATATAATTTTGACATCACACATTATACTGTGAACTCATACCAAATGGTCTGAGTACACCATAGAATGTTATTATAAACATAGTATATCTAAATAAATTATTTAATATTATGATAAACAAGTAAACATAATTAGAAAACTATGAAACGGTTAAATATAACTAGATTATATCTTTTTTTTTTATATGAAAAATTGATTTACCAAATAAACTGAGCACTAACATTTTGCTGTGAATCCAAGTTGACTTCAAAAACTTGAAATTGGTGATTTCAGTTTAGAAAACCAAGAGAGAAGCCAAAACCATCAATGACAAAAGTTTGAAGGCCGTGATAAAAAATGATCCAAAAATCACAGAGACATGGAGCAAAATTAATGTATAAATCAGAACCATTTAAAGTAATTGGTAAGGATTTTAAATTTTTCATAAATGCTTCTATTTGAATTGCATGAAAACATTCAAATGGCTGCATTAAACATATTCAGTAATATGAAACTTATCTTCTTTTGTACTGTATTTTCATTTGTGATTAACAACAGATTTTGTATAATAACAGAAGATCTGCACAAGAAATACATGTGGGTGAAAAATCAAGATATTAATGGAAATCATGCTGGAAAGTTATGGTGAGCATTTGATAGAACAAGTGTACATTGATAGTTTCCTTCAAAGTAGCAAAACAATACACAGATATGTAGACAAGCTGGAAAGTGCATTTAAATCTCAAACAGCACCCAATTTTGGTGAACAGAAAAGTATCACTGCAAAAATTATGCTAATAAAATTAAACTAGTTGAAGATATAAATTGTCAGGGTGCAATATGATTTCTAAGATCAGGTTATTTTTCTTTGTCTTGTCTAAATTAACATTTCATTCTAGTATCTACACCATTTTTTTTAACTTTAATTAAGTTCAAAGTGGAAAACTCTTTAATGAATTTAACTTCTATGGATGAAGAATTCTTTATGGATGAAGAATTCTTTAAGAATGAAACTAATGACTTGCTTCCAAGGTAGAATATGGATATGAGCACCAAAGGGAAATATTCAAGATTGAATAAATTTATTTTTTTTAGTAAATTTTCATTTTTTTTCTTCAATCTTATGTTGAATAAGCTCAAAGTTATCACACACACACACACAAAGAAGCATAACCAAAAAGGGATTTATCAAAATTCTGATATTTGCTCATTTGGACAGATTTTCTGGATTCCCTTATATAACACACAATTTTAACTATTAATTTCCTGAATTTTCAAGTGAGATAAATCGAAGATTATAAATTGTACAGTAATACTAACACTTTTTTTTTATTGAATTTGGATTATCTTCCAAAATGCAAAGTGTACATAGATTTTCTAAATAAGATGAGGTAAGCATTTAAGTATTTAAAAAAATTTTTTAACAATTTCTATTATAGAAATGAAAATCCTTACATCAATAAAAACAAAACATAACCACACATGTAAAAAGAAAATCAACTTATCTATTGTACTAAAATTCATATATATTGAAATTTTAACACTTTCCTTAGTTCTTACTATTTCTGTGAGTTTGAAGAGTTAACATGATTGAAAAAAATCAAAACAGAAATGGAGTAGAGATTATTACATCTATTTCTTTAGCTTTTAGAAAATTCTTTGAGCAAGGCCAAAAAACTGAACTGCAAACAAATTCATCTGATCCATCCCTTCTATAGAGGCTCACAAAAATTTTTTCTCTAAGTTATTAATGCAGAGTAGCATAACATGGCACTATCTTTTACTTTGTCAATTTTAAACAACTAACTTTGAAGCAGCAGCAAACATGACTAGTAACAATCAACAATATTTCCAACTTTACAGGTAAAAGTTTTCAAGAAAAAATGATGGAAAAAGTTTGAGCATAAAAAGGAAAAAGGAGGGAAATATAGGATTTAAAAGAGGCAGCAAAATGTTTTTATAAAAATCAAAAGAAAAGGGATGTTGGGAAGGGAAGGGGGTGCAAACACCATTTTGTCTAAGGGCTATGGTGTGCTGTCTGCAGCCAGCCATGCATAGTCCTTTTACTGTTAACTCACCCTGTATATCTCTGCAATTTTGTGACTGAGTTCAGCGTGATCAGTTATACTGTGACTTACGCCAGGCTGGACTGCAGTTAGGGCTTTGATTTCGGCAATATCCAGTTGAGGCTCGAAATCATAATCAGTTGGCGAAAAAATGTTGTTGGACAATCCAAGATAGGTAGACAGGTTCATTGTTGCCGATGCTAAACACAAGGAATTACGTACAACTTCTTCAACAACTCCCAAATCAACAATTTCTTCAGATTCCTGAAAGTGAAAAGAAAAATACAGAGGCTTTATTTTTGATAAAATCAAAAAAATTGTTGTAGATTACATGAAGTACTCTCTCTCTCTCTCTCTCTCTATATATATATATATATATATATATATATAAACAAACTTTAAAATTTAATTAATAAAAGATGAGATAGTGAACATTGTTCAAGATAACACAAATTACATTTTAGTTTCACAAAGGAATATTGATACACTGAGATTCATACAAATAGTGTAAGTTCAACTATATAAAAAAGGTATGAGCACAAATAAGAGGCTGTCTTTGAAAACAAATACTCTGGAAGTTTGAGATTAAGACAAACTACTACAAACAAGCAGAAAGAATAGATTTGATTGTTTTGATGCAAAAAGTTTGTTAGATCATAAAATGTGGTACTGCTATTTTGCTGACATCTATGAAGATAGAGAGGAGAATAAGATTTGAAGAGATTTGTTGTCACTCAATTCCTCAGAACAACCACCAGGCACTTGAATGTGAATATACAAATGCATGAAATATATTTAATAGTCTTATTATTATGCTTGAACATCTAAGATTAATATAAATGAAAGTAAAAAAATATACTTGACAAATATTCCACTGGCAATTTTTTTATGGTATTTCTCATTCTTCAAAATGCCTAGTTGAATTAAATGCTTGCATCAGCATAAAAAAAAACAAGCAGCCACATAAAGCAAAATGCATATTATTCTTTAATAATTATATGAACCTAAAAGAAAGAGTAGAAGCTTGTATTGTTGAAAAGAAAGCTCACCCATTTTCTTTAATTTTATCCCCCAAAAATTCTAAAGAAAAAACTTTTAAATGTTATATAAAAAGTTATCTCTTTCTCATTTAACTCAATTCTAATTTACCATTTGTAGACCTAGCAGGACAGATAATGCTGTTGATAGCAAACTCAGGAAAACTCTAAAAACTCCTAGATAAGGTAGTAAATGAAAGCAAACAGAAAGTAATAACTGTAAGACAGAATGTATGTATGATCATTAGCAAGAGATACAAACAATGATGGTAGCTACTAATTGGAGATATCAGAATCAAGAAGGTACACAAATTTAACTTTCTGGATAGTGCAGTAACAATGAAAAATATGAAACAGAAGATACATTAGAATAGCTAAGATACCTTCCAAAAACTAAACAAATTTCTTTAGAAACAAATAAAAGAGTATAGAACTGATACATGATATATGGTATTGAATGCTGGAGAATTTCCTCATATATGAAGAAGAGAATTAACTCAACATGGATGTGTTCCACAGACAGGTGCTAAGAATACCATGGACTAAAGATGTGAGCTATAAAGAAATCAAAGAAAGTAGGTAATAAAATGAAACTAAAGTTTCAATTCAAGAGATAGTTGAAATTTTTGGGACATGTAATAAAAAAACGAGGACTCGGGGAATTTAACATTCATATGGTATACTCAAAGCAGGAGGAATAAAAGGAGACAGTGAGAAAACTACCTAATGAGTCTGGCTGGTAAAGCAAAGATAAAGAAGTTATTACAAGTCAAATATTGGTTAGAACTACAAGTGACAGGAAATTGTGAAGAGCTATGATCACCCACATTCTGAAGGAACACATTATATAATAGATTCTGCATTACTTGCACTTTAAGATTATTCTTTTCTTAGTATCATTAAAATAAGTTGGGCTATTATGATTATCTGGATTATCTAAGGTACATTTTGTATTTGACTGACTTTTTCTATGAATAAAAGGAATGAATCATCAGAAAGAACTGAACCAAGAAAATCTCAATAGAACAGAGTATCTCTATTTAAATTAGGGATATTATAAAACAAATGTGCATGTATGTGGAGGAATTTTAAATTTAACACATTAATTGCCCTGCCAGCACAATTACTTGTAACTAAAATCTTCAAATTATCTTTTGTATGATGATATTTTAAAATAATATTGTCTCATGTTAAATATAATTATCAACATTTCAATAAAAAATGAAAAACATTTTAAAAGAATTTTATTTTCCTTAATTGAAATTGCATGTATAGACACCTGTAGCATAAAAAGGAGATTTGGGACATATTTGATACATGTGCTAACTACAGGGATGTTATAGGTATTTTTTATACAATAAAAGTTTGAATGTTCAAATTTCAATGTAGGTGATGATGCTAAATGGCATTCACTATGTCTCATATTGGTTCACATTGGCACTGCAGATTCCTTTTAATACAGTACCTTCCTCCACACAACATAAATAGAGTAATGTGCATTATCTACAATTATCTAATGCAACAAGATATTATTTTCAGTCTTGAGAAAAATTAAGCAGAACTTTATACCTGGTCTTCACTCTTTAGTACCAGTATATAAATTCCTGAAAACAGTTTTATTGATTTAAGAGAATGAGGATAGATTATATCCAGATGTTTATAGTTATTAGGAGAGTGCTTTGCAACAATTTCATTGTCAGAATTGTATCAGATAAAATTGAGTTTTTTTAAATTTCCAAATATTAAGGCTTTCTCTCAGCTTTGCCAGAATATTTCTGAAGCAGATTCACTGATGTTAGTGACTCAAGGTATTTTAGATGTTTTCCATTATAAGATTGTCCTAGTAAATTCAACTGATAAAACTTTCATTCTTGGGCAAGTGTCTTAATGAATTTTGTAAACTGCATGTAACCCCAACACTAAAAAAGATACTGTTAGAGTCCTCCTTAGTGTTTGAAATTCTATGAATATGCAGTTTCTGAAACAAGATCTGATCTCGGTTGAGATTTGTTAATGAAGATTTTACTCTTAGGTGGGAGAAACAGGTTTTGTTTCTTTAACAGAAAATTCTACTATCTTAAATTCTCTTTTCTTCAAATAAGAAATAAATCAATCAATAGACAAAATGTTTTCATCTTCTTAATGATAATGAAAGTAAAAGTAAACTGTCATAAACATTTACAAAATGTAAGTTTCAAAATCGGTTATTTCTTTTCATTCTAAATAAAAATGTTTCTTGATTTATTTTTTTGTATCTAATAATATAAATTTCAGAATATAGTTATTAAGATCCATAATGGCTACAACAGGAGAGAAAATGGTCTGTCAAACAGATACTTACCTGATAGGGATTTACAGGCAGAACTTTCACTTTTGCCAAAGGTAGACCATCAAAATTGGATGTCACTTTAATCTGACCATGAATGTTTTTGAAAAGCAGTTTAACCTGAAATTTAAAAATATTTAATTGCTTATGCAAATAAATAAATGTAAACAGTTAAAAAATATATCAGCTAGTGAAGCATTAATTGGTTATTTTGATACATTGATAAAATTGCATATGATTGCTAATTTGTAAAGTATCTTAGAGTTTTAGAAAAATTAGATTGCTTAAAGATTTGAATAATAGAAGTATTTAAGATAAAAATCAGTTAAAAAATAGTGTAGAATAATGTTCTGAAAATGAAACCTCTGCTTTAAAATTTAACTATATCACTATCTTTTGTAATTTTTTAAACTTCAATATAAATTAGATATGCAAAAAGTCTAACATAAAATCAGCTTAGCAATCAGTTTAATTTTGAAATGAAAAAATATGCAAACAATATTTGACTTGTATAGAAAAATATCTTCTGCTATCTAATATGTTACTTTGAATTTATCTTACAAACATGGTCACAAACTTGGGGTAATATTCTGGTTAGTTTATAATTTGTTTGGTTTTTTTTTGCTGTTGTCAAATTTAATTTCTCAAAACAATGAATTATACAAGTAGTGATTTTTTTATAAAATAGATGCTTCCATATTTGGTTAAAGTTATTTTTATGAAAAGTAAATCGTAATGTTTATCAGGAATTTGGTGAAAATTCTAACAAAAACTAAATCCTACTTAATATATCTTGCAGTTATTACAAATAATTTATGCTTAAAACACATCAGAAATTACAAATTTCAAAACAATTGAATGTATAGAAAAAAAGTTAAGTATTTAATCATATGCTGAAATATATCATCATGTATCTTTAGATAAAGAAATTTCAATTACACTAATAAACATAGGTTTACAATCAATATGCATTGCACACGCTCAGTTGGTTGTGGGGTGGATTTCTATGTAATCCACCAATGAAATACAAACTGATAAAGCTACAATAAGAAATTGATAAGCTAATAAGATACATATTTATCTATTAATCTTATTACATTTCACATCTCATTTCTTGCCTTTCTACTTTGAATTGCTGTCATTATTAAGTAGGAAAATATGTTGCCTGCTATCAGTGTTTCCAGCAGGTCCTCACTATACTGCTTTTCAAACTTTCTTCCAAAATGATATTCAGAAAATAAAGAATGGAAAGGTTTCAGATTGGAGAGTAGTATTTTTAATTTCTCATTTTTTTTTTATCATTATCAGGAGTTTATATACTGAAAAATATCACCATTCATTATATTTTCTTAGAATCTTTTCAGTATGAGAACAAATTTAGAAATTTATTTTAAAAATATACATACATAAACATAAGAAAAATAAACATCTGTTTTTGACTAAGTTTTAGCATTATTCTTTTAATCCCAAACAAGTTCCATAAATTTACCTACTGGGAAACCTATATTCACATTAATGTGATTTTCATTAAAGCTATACACTACTGATTTTAACAAGCACCTTTTCAAGTAGAAGAGCATAGAATTATTCTTCATTAATGTTCATAAGTTTTATTTTCTGATGCCAATTCAAAAAATAAATTTCTTAATAAATCTTAAAAAATTTCTTTAAATAAAAACTAAGAAAATTGAGTACACAAATTTAATTAAATGGACCAATAACATTTTTCTAAGTGCAAGAAAAGTGAAAAATATCAAAAATTGATAAATCAGTGAAAGTAATTAGAATTTTAATGACGTTGTTTATATAATGTTTGTATTTTTGTCTGAAGAAAAGATTTGCACCAAGGGCTAGAGCAAGGAGTGGACAAACAAATGCTTGTTGCTGGGAAGAATCATGTTCGATGGGAAGTAAACAACAAGGCAACATTGGAGGAGAGCATTGTCACATGCATTCTTTACAAGTGACTGTCACTCCCATGTAGGCCTATACAACCATAACAGAAGATGCTGCACTACCATTAAAAGATCCAAGGTTTCTCAAGACTGGTGGATCCCACACAGATTTTTTTTATTACTAAAAAACTGTAAAAGTGAAATAACAATAACAGTATTAAATGAGTATTATGTGCTGTCAGTAGAGTTGTATATCTGTGGCTTAGTGATTAGATATTCAATTTAAATGAATGTCATGAAATTAATGATTCAGTCTTTGGTTTAATGTTGGAAGAATTTTATCAGTTATTTACAATGCTTTTTTAAAAAAAGACCTTTACTTCAGACTTATGGTAGCAAGTAGGCTGTTATGAGTAGCATAGATCCTTATTTACCTTTTTAACCAGTAGCATCTTGCTAATTAATGCTGCTACAAAAACTACTTAATCTCCTATCCTCATGAAAATGAGGAAAATAGACTTTATAAATATTGTGGGTGATCAGAAGTGACTCAGTAAAATTATATTTTAACCTAAAATTATCATCAGGACACTTTTCTGAATCTATAAACATCAGCTTTTGCCTTCCATGTCTTATTCTGTTTTATATTATCCTTTAGTATAGTTTCCATTACTTTCATTTCTCTAATACATGTGTCTTGTTTCCATTTTAATTTTTTTAATAAGCCTCTTGACAACACAGCAATCTTGAGAATAGTTTATGAGAGAAAACATCTCAAACTGTTTAGGTTTTTATGTAAATTGACAACAGTGCACATACTCAGGATATTCCTGAAAGAAAAACGAGTAAAAATAATTAACATTATTTTTGTCAATATCAATAATTAACATTATTTTTGTCAATATCAAGTCACTAAAAGTAATGAGTAAAGAGTAATTTCTTAATGATGACTAAGTATTTCTAAATTGGTTTGGTATTTACATCCATTTTATTTTATTTCTAAAGAAAATTCTAGATATACTGCTTCCCAGTTTAGTTCTTCCTACTAAACTTTTGCTAAGTACTGATACCAAGTAAATTTGTTTCAAATATTAAAATAGTACTTACCTTTGCTTGATACCTTGCAACTTTACAAGTACAATTTGTTAATTTTATTCCAGACTGACTTTTTTGAGATGCAAATACAGAAAAGGACAAGTTTTTGGTATCAGAGAAATATTTAACAAGCTGAAAAGAGAAAAAGAACTTTAATTTATTAAGTCCAGATCAATGAGAATCAAATAATTCTACAAAAAAGTTATATTTTCTTATTATATTTTTAATCAAATGATTGTGTTAAGTAGATTCGAGAATAAATGATAAAATGCCAATAAATTGAGAAGATAATTTTGAAAATACACTGTCATAAAATTAAGTATATTGATTAATGCATTAAATGCATTCTCTGATCAACCAGCATCCCTTAATAAAAACCAATAGAAAGGTGGGAGGGGGAATTTTTAAAATTACACAAAATAAAATTCAGTGCATAAAACTAAAATGTAAGAATTTAGCAAACAGCTTATTGCAAATCAAATGAAAAGATAATGCAATATTATAAGTTACTGAATTGCACTCATATTTGGGTGATATATAAATGTGTGTGTGTGTGTGTGTGTGTGTGTGTGTGTGTGTGTGTTCACACACAGGCATATGTACAATGGGTGTTCCAAAATTAATGCCTCTTATTTTCATAGAAATTATAATACATACAGAGAGCACAATAACATGGTTGGGTAGAACAAATTTTCAGCTACAAAACACTATTTCCCACTCACTACCATTGTCTATGAATTTTCATCAATGATGAACAAGAGCTTGTGTATCATGCTTGTAAGAATCTAGATGAGCAGAAGCAATCTACTTTTTCACATCTGTTGCCATTGCTGAAATAACTGACTGCTTAACTATATTCACATCTACTGTTTGGTCTCCATAAACAGTCAACAAGAGAGTCAATGAATGCAATTTTTTTTGTATTGAAGAATTCAATGAGATGCCTTAAAAATGGGTTATTAGTGAGAAGGCTCAACCTTTACTGCTATAACATCAAAATTGCCTTTGAAACTTGTATGCCAAAATAATAAAACAAGAAGCATTACTTTTAGAGTGCTCTTCATTCTGCACTGACATAAATACAAATATACAACTATATAATAACTTGTGTGGCATCTGATAAAATTAGAGAATTTACTAAAAGAACTAATATCAGATGAGGTAGTACAGGAGAGCATGAAGAAAGAACTAAATGTATGACCAAATACATGATTGTTAACAAAAAGACAGCCCAATTTGAATATGTCAAAATCAAGCTGGTGCAGAAATTTTACTATCTGGGCAGTGTAGTAATAAATAATGGATAATGTGACACAAAAATCTGAAGATACATAGCAATAGCAAAAGTTGCCTTTCAGAAATTAAGCAAAGAATTAAAAATTAGGAAAAAGTCCTTAGAAGCAAAGAAAAAGTGTGCTGAACTGATATATAATATCTAATCTCCTGTATGGAAGTGAATGCTGGATAATCTCTTCACAGATGAAGTGACTTGAAATGGTGTCAACACAAGTCAAGAATAACATGGACAGAATATATGAGTAAGAAGGAAATTTTAAGGAGAGTGGGAACTACAAAGAAACTACTGTCCGCAATTGGAAAGAGTTGAAATTTTGGGCATGCATAATGTGGAAAGAAGGCTTTGAATCACAAAGTGTATTAAAGACAAGGCAAGTGAGAGGTGGAGAGCAAGTTGACAAGAACATGTCCAAAAATGCAAGAGTTACTTAGAGTAACAAAAGAAAGAAAGTTATGGAGAACTATAATCAACCAGATCCTTAAAGAACATCTATATATATAAAAAGGGCAGTTGTTTGTATGTGTGTCCGTCCAGCTAAAACTGAAAAACTACAGTAATTCATAACAAAATAAATTTATATACAGGCTCATAATCATCCAAGCCAGGCTTTTGCAAAAAAATTATCATCATATGATTTGTATTTATGTAGATATTTTAGAATTAAAATGCATTAGAATGCATTCAAAATTATCAGAATTAAAAAGTAAAAACAAAATGGTAATAATTCTTATTCTTGAAACAAATTACCATTTGTTTTAATTTTTTTATTCTGCTAAACACTATACAAGTATTTATTTTTTAAATTTCTTTTCTCTTGAATTTATTTACACATCTATATTAAATAAAAGTGTAACTTTAAAAAATGAATATTAAAATAAAGTAAATTTTAAAAAAGAGAATATTAAATACAATTTTTTGACAAAAAGTTTAATATTTATCTTCTGAGCAATGCCAGGTATCCCCACTAGTTACATATAAAAGAAAACTGGTCAAATGAGATATAGTAAATGTTCTTCAATATGCTAAAGAGAGAAGCTATAGAATCCTCTTTATATATGACCATTAAGAAGTCCATACAGTTGAAGATCTGCAAGAAAATAGTATCAAGAGATGCAAAGTGAGTGTTTAAGACATGGACTGTTACAATTCAAAAGTACAGTATGCTAATTATACTGAATCCAGATCACTAGCTGGATTTAACATGATTTGCATAGAACCAGATCATGAATATCAAGTAAAACATAAAATACTTATCTCTTTCTGCTCTATGGCAAAAAAACAACATGTATACTGTTAAATGAGTTTTAAAAATAGATATGAAAATAAAAATAATGTAGAAAAAAATAATTAACAATGAAAATTAGAGTCATTATCTATATAAAAATAACTGTACTATGTCTTATCTAAAAAAAAAAAAAGGACTTTAGCTAACTATGAATGCATGCCAGAAAGAACTGTTCATATAATTTCACATTTATGGATTTCAGAATTTAAATATTTAATTGCTATAGTGGATAAAAGCAGTGTTCATTTGAGAGATGCATTGATTAAAAATAATGCCTTTGAAAAAATAACAAAGTTAAAATAAATTTCACCATAATTCTTTGTTCAAGTATGCCATGAATACAGTAATATATATATATATATATATATATATGTGTGTGTGTGTGTCTGCATTGGTTTGTGTTGCCACCTATCATATGCGTGCTTGTTTGTGTGTATGTAAACTTAGGTATATGTCTACATGTGCGGGTGTATGTGTGTGTGTGTATATATATATATATATATATATATATATATATATATACAAACACACAAGTGTATGTGTGCATACTTGTGGATGTGTTTATATGGGTATTTATACATGTTTATATATATGTATATGTGCTTATGTCTTCATATATGTATATGTATGTACATCTTAGTGTCTTGGAATGTATCATCAGTACTAACTAAAATCTACTTTTGTTTCATAATGGTTCTATAATTGTTTATAGACTTAATAATCAACAATTGTGTCTTCTTACATTTTAATATTGTATGGATTTTACTGTCCTTTATCATCACTAAGATAATATTGGTAGAATATGTGTAGGTTTATGTATATATATATGACTATTTATGTGTGTGTATATATATATATATATATATATATATATATATATATATATATATATATATATATATATATATATATATATATATGTATATGTATGTATGTTTTATATATATATATATATATATGTATATTTATATTTATATTATATATATATATATATATATATATATATATATGTGTGTGTGTGTGTGTGTATGTCTGTAGATAGGCTTTTCTGTGTTTCTGTCTGTAGTGAAGAATGTGTGTACACATATCTGTATGTATTTTTATTTTTTTTCACCTACTGTTATATTTTTGTACCCATGTATGTGCACTAGGGTGTATATAGGTATATATTATATATATTTTTATATATATTTGTGTGTTTGGAGTTTTCATTTTTATATATTAGATGGTGATTTTTATGTGTATATATCTATTTTTCTGTCCATGTCTATCTATTTTAATGTCCTTTCTTTCCCTAATGTTTGTTTTTTGGTTCTGCCCATGTTGAATTTTATCTCTTCTACCATTTTTATCTATGTATATTTACCCATATAAGTTATATTTTAATAAGTGGTTAGAATTCATTTAATAACACTTTCAAACTTGAATATATCTTGGTAGGTGTATCGGCATGTCTTTGTCAATGTATGTGCGTGTATGTATGTGTCTTTGTCAGTGTCTGTGTGTATGGTCACTTGTGTGTACCCTTCATCGTGTATGTATGTTGTTGTTTTTTTTTTAAAGGGTCATGGAGATATTTCCTGCCTCATCGCTTTTTTGTGTGTGTATATATCTAAATATGTCTGCGTGTTTATGCATTATAATCTGATTGTGTATGTATTGTCTTTTGCAAGATGTCATCGTCCCCTGCCTCTGTTTATGCTTCAAATGTATCTATGTTGTCATGAAGTTCAGAGCAACATTTGATCTTAACATTTATTCTAACTTAATTTCAATAAAAACAAAATAAATAGAATAACATATGTATTTTTTTTTCTTTTTTCCTCAGTAATTTTATAATTTTAAACTTAATATAGATTAAATTCAAATTTTAAAATGGGTAATTTTTAATTTCAAATTTTATTGTATAATTTAATACTTATTAGTTAGAATAAATTCTATTTTAGTCTAACCCAAACATTAAAGCATTAAATAATTATTATAACCTTAGTTCATTGTCAAGTTTTTTTAATTCTCATATACTTGTATTTTGATTGGTCATTGCAGCTTATCTAGCAGCGTTTCCCTAGCGAGGGATGTTTGATTGATTTGAACCTTTTAAACCCTTTTCATTCTACATTCAACACCATCACTTGATAAGACATCAGAAGTGTTGAAACAAAATGGCTATTTTTGTAGTGATTTTATAACTTATATTGGTTATTGGAATTTATTCTGTATACACCAATCCTATACTTGTGTGTGTATGTGTGTATATATATATATATATATATATGTGTGTGTGTGTGTGTGTGTGAGAGATATAGATGAGGTTTGGTCATTGAAGTAATGACCTGTAGCTGCTATCATCTTGAAATCATTTGAAAAATTCCTCTTTCAAGCTCCTTTTAAGGTTCAAGGTTTGAAAACAGGAAAAAATTTCTATAGGACAAAATCTGGCAAGCAGAGTGGATGATTTATGTACTGAAACCCTAAATTCTTCAGAGTATTACTTATCTTCATCTTCATCTTGTAAGCAGGTGCTTTGTACTGCAAAAAGAATACCTTTCT